CTGTGACCAGACCTCTGTGACACTCTGTGGTGATGTCCTGCAGTGGAGTCTGTGTCCAGACCTCTGTGGTGACGTCCTGTAGTGGAGTTTGTGTCCAGACCTCTGTGGTGACGTCCTGCAGTGAGGTCTGTGTGCAGACCTCTGTGACACTCTGTGGTGACGTCCTGCAGTGGAGTCTGTGTCCAGACCTCTGTGGTGACATCCTGCAGTAGAGTCTGTGCCCTGACACTCTGTGGTGACATCCTGTGGTGGAGGCTGTGTTCAGACACTCTGCGGTGACGTCCTGTAGCAGTCTAGGCATCCCGATGTGATACGGCTGTTGAACCCTTCCACTTGTTTAGATTAGGGGACTAAGACTCAGAGAGGATAAGTCATTTTCTTGAAGTCATTTAATAGAGCTGAAGCTCTGGACTCTTAACCCAGTGCTCTTTCTGCCACACCTCAGGGTTAGAATAACATGTGTTCCGGCCCCCCACCCACTCACCCTTCCTGAAGACCTCCTCATTCATCCATTCCATCCACATTCTTGATGTCTTCTACATGCCAGGGACAGATCGTCTAGAGACACTGTGATGGGTACCTACCCTCAAATAAAAACACAGCTGTGAAAAATCGTTCCAGAATAATAGAAGTACCAAGGACAATACCTGTTTTGAAAGTACTGACTCTACACTGTATTATCTAGAGATAGGCCTTCCAGACTTTTTCCTTTTTAAGTAAAGAAATAGGACAGAGCTTTGCTTGTTGGGATATTATTCAACTAACAACCCAAGTCCTTAGAAACACAGGCACAGACTGTAATACAGAGGGGAAAGGCCGTGTCCCCAAAGTAGCTATAACGAAGCCCAAGCACTAAATGTCACTCAGCCCCACAGAAGGTCTCTTTAGTTTCTTCTTGGTATTATTTATTCCATTTGACATATAATTCCAAGCAGATTTGAAGCAAAAAGTTAGTTGGTAACAGCCTGACAGCATGAAGAGGCAGCCATCATTTCTTCCTGATGGGACGGCCATTCGAATGGACAACTGGCCTAACGGTGGGGCAGCTGACGGAGAAACCGTGAAACTAGGAATGAAAGT